AAATCTCTTCACTGACAAAAAACTACATTCATACATACAGACAAACCATTAATGCTCTTTTTAATGCTCTTGTACATATTTTTCTTCCTCACTTATCATCATGGTGCGAACATTGTCATCAACAGCACAAAGCGTCACTATGGCAACAGCAGTAGGATCACGAGTAAAGTCCCCTCTGCACAACAACTCTCTTGTACTTGACCAAGACCTTGAGCCAGAAATATACTCCACACAATCACAAGAGAGGTTCTGGTCCAATGTACAAAATGCTACAAAGGACACTCCTGTGGAGCTATGTTTTCCAGTACAGCAGCGACGTGTCGGGTTAAAACAGATGGCCAGGGTTCTGGAAGGAAATGTAGCATTCATTTTTTCCACAGACAATGTTATGTCTTTAGCTGAGAATTCCACCGTTTGGGAAAAACATTTTTACACCATTACATTCTTAGAGCACAAATGTATTGACTGCTATTAAAATACAAAGATGCACAAAGGTGTCCAATCTCAGAACACACTTTAAGGGAAATGCCACAAAATCATGCATGTAACAAACTACATTATCTGTAGCTGCTACATCTGCAGCCTGGTTCTAGCTCACAAAGCTGCAAAATTGTTGGAGAGATAGAGAAGTGGGAAAAAAAAGGTACACTGTGTGTGTGCATATGTATAGCTGGCACAGAGTGTGTGTGCTCTCATTGTACATGCACTGAAAGTGTGTCTTTGCATTTTTCTTGGTGTGCTTGTGGTTTCAGAATTTGTGTCTGTTTGTGTTTGTGTGTGTGTGTGTGTGTGTGTGTGTGTGTCTGTGTGTGTGTGTGTGTGTGTGTGTGTGTGTGTGTGTGTGTGTGTGTGTTTTCACAAACTCACTCTATTCTGGTCAGCTTCTGACAGAAAGGGATAACTTTGGCCAACTCCACTGCCACTTTATCCTCACAGTTATTCCACCCCAGACTGGAGACAGAGACAGACACATATGTATAACATTTAGATCAGCGCTGACAAACCGTGCATCAGAAATCAGAATCAATCATGTTCATGTCCATATTGGCTAATTTACTTTGCTGCCCCTGGCGAATAATGTTTGTTTTAATCATTTGTACTGACAATGTTTTATATAATCAGCTGAACCTTACCCCACATCCTGTATGACAGTGGGTGAGACTAGCAGCTACAGCACACAGCTCTGGAGTCCCAACAGAGGTCAGACTGACGGACCAAACAGGAAACAGAAAGACATTATTTATCATGAAACTAATAATCAGTAAATTTAGTCATCTATCAGGGTTTGGAGATTCCTAAAACAGTAAGAGGAGCTTCAGAGTCTTACTGAATCTTGGTGAGGTTCTTCATGCACATTATTGCTCTGGACAGACTCACTGACCCTTCATATCCAATACTATTATCTGAAATACTAGAAAAAGACACACGTGCATAAAAAACAGAAACCTAACTGCAAGATTGACAAATGTAAAAAATGTCAGTCAGAGATTTTTAATGTGTGTGTGACTTACTCCAACACAGAGATGCGTGTCAGTGATGGTAGAACAAGAGCCATTCTTGCAGCAGTGAGATCACCCAGACTGTTAGTGACCATACTGGAGGACCACACAAACACATGTTTTAATTCTGTACTGATGCAGGAGAAAATACTTTCTTCTCTTTAACCACAGTACACACGAGAGAAATAATACAATAACAAATAAGGGGAAAAAAATGTAAGATTATATGGAACACTAGCAGCGTGCAGTTGAATGTGGTGCTACACTGCTTTTGGCCACAAGATGGCACTTGTGTGCTGGAAAAACTAATGATATACAATAAGAAATAAATGTGTTTCACTCATCTGTGCTGATCTACTGTTAACAATGGATATCATTTTAAATTAAGAATTTGTTCCAGACAGTTTCCTCTGATTCACAAGAGTTTTTTTAAGGGAGCATGGGGCTGATCTGCCACCAATCTAATTGCTCACGTGCAAGTTTTGCTCTGGGGGACAGCGAGCCAATCTCAATGAGGATAACGAGAATGCATCAAAAAACACCAGATGTAAATCTGAACAAAAGATCACCGGATACAGATTGCAGTTTAATACCAGGTGTAAATGAGGTGTCAGATTTTGAGAGAACGTTTGAAGGTGATCAGGGGAAACACTGAGCTGATAAAAATGTCACCACCATCTCCTCTAACTTATAATTGTATGTTTTGCACTTCTATCTTTTGTTTCTGTAAAATAACTGACATGTTTGTCAGTATGGGAGCAGGTACGACATTAAACACTAGTGGTTACAACAGACGCACAACCATAGCCTATCCAGCACGACTAGCTTAATGAGGAGGTTAGTTCCACTTTGTGGAAGCTGATGGGGCTAAAACTGACTTATAATTTCAGTTTATGTGATTTGAGTACAGGTTATTATTGCAGCACAACAGAAACATTTATTTTGTAGGGGAAAGAAACAGAAAAAGCTGTGTGTGGGTGCATGTGGAGCCTTTGCTTTATTATTTTACACTCTTACATCAGTAGGCGCCCAACCTAACTCACTCTTGGTGTTTTGCGTTAATTGGGTGGTGGTGGCCTGGGATGGTATCAAATTCCCGGTCTGAATTATTGTCCCAGTCCGCCCCTGGTTCCAATGTATTAAGTGAGGGGATAAATCCATGTAAATATGATATGATGTCTTTACAGACTGTATAAACAGCATTGGCATTTGCCATCAAAGTTCTGACCTTCCAACTCATCAGTGAGCAACACTTTACAGGTTATCACTATGAGAGAACGGGGAATTGTAATTTACCCCAAGGGAGTTGGGGGGGTAATTATGATAAGCTTCATGTGGAGCTTATGACATGTTGGAATGACGAGCGGCAGCAACGGTGGCTGTAACGCGAGCAGCGAAGCAGCCTTTTGGCAGCGACAGTGTCAGCAAAGGCATGCTATCATAAATAGACCAGATTATTAGAGTGGTGCTGGATATGTGTGTGAGTAAAGACTGTCATTATGACTGATGCAGTAAATGTAATAACGTCCACCAGAAATAGCTTTGCAAACTTAGCTCCACATTGTGCAGCAAATAAATCCTTAGGGGCCACATAATGAATAGCTATTAACAGGCCATATTATACTTATCACTTGGAAAGGTCAGATTCTGAATACAATTTGATACAAAGGATCTTCCCAAGAGTGAAACCTTATGTCAAAAACTCTCATATGGGATTGGGTACATCCAGTTCTAATGGGACTGCTACAGTAAACAAGATTCTGTTTCTTACTTGAGACTGCGAATAGAGACGATATTCCTTAGTGCTTGTGCTAGACACATCATGCTCTTCTCATTCAGCTGCAAAGAGTCCAGACTTGGGGTGTTCACAGACACACACACACACACACACACACACACACACACACAGACAGAAAGACACATTTAGAACTTCAAGACACTATAGAAGCAAGTCCATCTGTATCCAGACACTTTTGCAGACTTCAATCATATGCATATATATATTATAATTTATATATTACCAAAGGCCCTCCAGACTGACACATTCTCCCAGTGCTTTGATGAGCTGCAGCCCTCCAGCCGCTGACCAGGCACAGTGAGACAGGCTAGAAAAGACAAATCAAATGATACCATTGTCAGGTTTCATATGCTCTATGAGATGGTTGAAACACCCTCTGCAAACCACATTATGTCCATAACTTCCTGTGACATTATCACACCTACTTATAATACTATTACGCTGAATGTGAAATGCTTACTTGAGTAACCGTAGACGGGGCAACATTGTGGTCATAATCTGAGCTGCTGTGTCATCAATCACATGACCTGACAGACTGGTAGAGTAAAAAAGGAAGATTTCACTTCATGAAATTCACTTCAATTTATGAATGTTGTGTTGGTTGTGCAATCAAATTAAAACAATGTGGGGTAGAGTTATTATCATGCATGTCAAGGTAGAAAAAAAGAGCCATGAAATACCAGAATTATTTGCAAGATAACTGGAGAAATGACAATAAGTCTATAGCGTCAGTACAAGTGTTTGATGCTTGGCCCATAACTAAAGCGAAAGCTTGATCGTGAATGCTCCCAGGCCACCTGAAAGGCCTATAATGCACAAGACAATTATAGCCAGATAGAATAAACTATTAATGAAGACAGTGAGAGGAAACAAAACGAGAATGCTCCAGACAAGTAATGAAATGTGTATGTGTTGCTCACTTTAGGCACTGAATGGCTGTAGCCTGCAGCAAGGCCTCTGAGAGCTTCTGAACCACAGTCAAACACGGCTCTTTGGAACCAATACTGCAAAAGATCACAGTAGATGCTTGTCATGCTACAACTATAAAACAGGAGAGAGGAGAGATTAACACCTATTTCCTACAGGACCTGTACAACTGCCAGCAAGTGTTTTTCCTGCTGTCATCAGCTACTTAGACAAATAACATTTGGCTTTACTACTTCCTCCAGAGTTGTTGATTAAATTCATAAGCCTTTGAAACAAAATCTTGTTTATGTATGACAATCTTAACAGTGCAACTTCTGCTTTATTTGTTTTCAAGAGAAAGAAGGACCACTGCCGTGATAATGTGGGATAACGTTGTGCATTTCAACTACAGGGGTAAGATAATAAAATATCCCCTCCTGACAAATATTAAGACAAATATAATAATAATTAGTCTGATATAGTACAGACTGGCTTCCATACTAGTTGTGATGTAGTCTTGTGATATTGGAGCGCCTACCAATTGTCAGGGGATTTCTAAATTAGAAAAAGTATAATGGCAGAGAGAGCAGCCACTGGCTTGTGAGTCTAGCTTATACTGTACATGTTAAAACCCTCTACAGGAGATGAATGTAAAAACAGCCTTCTAGTACATACATCATTCTGCACAATAAAGCTCAAACATCCAAGAGAAGGAACAATAAACTTAACACATTGTTAAAGTGGAGGGGGACATTCATTTAAATATGCCACCTGAGACATATTACCTGACTGAAGTCAGTTCAGTGGACTTCATCAGAGACAGGTGTAGCGTGGTTTGGTGAACCCTGCAAAGTAAATGTGTAGGTATATGGTTTAATGGGGGTAATCTACAGTGAGTGTGAATAGGTATGGGTTTCATTACAACAAGTGTACAGTTGTCCAACATGCTGATTTGTATATCTCACCTGATGGTGTATATGTTACCGTTGAGCTCCAGACAGCGACACACCAAACTAACAGCTTCCTCAGATCTGATCCAACCCTCCTCAAAACTGACAAAGAAGAGAGAGGGTAATGCAGCTCAGTGTTTCAACAATAGAATGCAGCACATGGACACTGTTTAATTCAGCTATATGGACAGAAACACAGTAAAAAGCAATATGGACCGTATGATAAGTGTCTTGTTTGTTTCTTCTCTTCAGGAGCACACAGCACATGCTACATCTACTGAATTGATTCTCACCTGACACTGATTCCTCTCTCGCTGCTGTTCAACAGTTTCACAAAGTCTCCAATCGAATCTGACTTTAGCAAATTGTTCTTGAATCTGTGGACCAATCACCGAATAATGGTTCCTGATTTTCACATGATGATCACATTGATCATCAAATCATTAATAATGCATGAAAAACTATATAATTTCTGTCTCTTGAGGCTAAAAGTTAGTCAGTTGTTAAACTAAGAATCAGTTCCAAACTACTCTCTCTGATGCTGGCAGAGTGGCAGAAAAGATAGGAGGGAATAAAACAAAGTATAAGTCAACATATGGGTAAAAGGTATATAGTACCAAACTGATTAATTGAATGTCAGCTGAAACCTTTAAAGTATTTTATAAGACAACAAACAGGGACCTGGTCTAACTGTGAATGCTAACAATAAAACACTGAATTCACTCTGACATTTTGTGGCAGATACATGGAAAACCTCTGCACAATGACATGCTAGTTACTTATACTTTTGAAATTTTGGATTCTTGTCCTACCTCAGAGTTTTTTCACAGCCGTCGTATTGGGTAAACCAGATGAGACACCTCTCCTCTGCTGCCAAACTAGACATGGACAAAAACCTCATTCACCGCATCGGTGTGTGAATGTGTATGAATGTTAGTTTCTGTTCCATGGACTTTGCCATGTGTGTGAAAGGGTAAATGTGGCACGTAGTGTAAAAGCGCTTTGAGTGTTTGGAAGACTAGAAAGGCACTATACAACTACAGGTCCATTTACCATTTAGCATTCTACCAATGTGATTGAAGGTAGATTGTTGTCGGCTTCACCTAAGAGATGGCGGTGGCACAAGACATTTACTGTGTCAGCTGGTATGTCTTGTTGATAAGGAGATGAAGACAAATGTTGGGAAGCAAACTGTTTGATTTGCTCTCTTTCTTCAAGAGAAACAGGGTCATTGGCCAGAGTGTCATGGGGCCGTCTGGAAAGGCCATCTGCGTCTTGGTTGCTTTTTCCAGCACGATACTTGATGTTAAAGTCAAAGGTGGAAAGAGCAGCTAACCAGCGATAGCTGGCAGCATCAAGCTTAGCTGACTTTAGTACATAGGTCAGTGGGTTGTTGTCTGTTACAACCGTGAATGTGTTTCCATAGAGGTAATCTTGGAATTTTTCTGCAATGGACCACTTCAGAGCTAGAAATTCTAGCTTGTGTGCTGCATACCGCTTTTCACTGGTCTAAAGCCCTCTGCTGGCATAGGCGATTACTTGCATTTCACCATCCTGTTCTTGGTACAGGACAGCCCCTAAACCTGAGGTGTTTGCATCTGTGTCGAGAATGTACGGTAATTTTTGATTAGCAAATCCAAATATTGGAGAGGAAGTGAGCTTTTCTATGATTGCCTCAAAGCTTCCTGGCAAGAAGGTGTCCATCGGTCAGCAAAGGGTCCTTGGGGTTGAAATATCCTCCAAGGCATAGTGTTCCTTTTTTACCCTTCTTGTAAGGTGGGTAACCTCCAGTAAGGTCATTCAAGGGTTTTACTATTTTGGAATAGTCCTTTACAAATCGGCGATAATACCCTGCAAAGCCTAGGAAGGACTTGAGCTCACTGAGGGTCTGGGGTCTTGGCCAGGTGCGGAGGGCACTGACCTTATCAGGGTCAGTCTCTACCCCTTTGCCGGAAACAATGTCGCCTAAGTAGCGCCCTGAACTTTGGAAGAAACAGCACTTTGTTGGAGAGTTTCAAGCCATACTCCCTCAATTGCTGGAGGACGTGTAGAAGCCTGGTTTCATGTTCCTCTAATGTGCTTGAAAACACAATGACATCATCCAAGAACACTAGTACTTCCTTCAGATTAAGACTGCCCATACATCGCTCCATCAATCGTTGAAAGGTACTGGACGCATTGGTGATGCCTTGGGGGCATGCGATTAAACTCCCAAAATAAAAAATAAAATCCCAAGGGGCCCACAAACAGTGTTAATTTCGTTGACGAAGACTATGACAAAAAATATTTGTCAACGAAACTTTTTCAAGGACGAAAACTAAATAAAAACTAAATAAAAAGTCAGATATGATGACGAAGACTGTGACGAAATGTAACTGACACTTAAGTCAACGAATAAAAATGAGACGAAAATGTTAGGGAGGGACGAATGGAGAAGATATCCAATTAGAACTACTCTTCTTGTGGGACAAGTTGGGAAGAAATCCAATCAGAGTGAATCTTTGAGGGTAGGTTGATCTATGCAGAAGCAACAGAGCCATTTTAAAAAGCTGCGGCAAATGCAGGCGCAACAGCTAAACAAGTTTGCAGAACTTCGCACAGTTTCGAGGACGTTAGGTTGTTTACATTATATTTAGTTGTGTTTAGTTGCACAGTCTTAGTTACACAGCTTTGGCTATTTTCAGTTGACTTCGCTCGTTAGCAACACGCGAACGTTTTGCAGTGCACCGGGTCCGAGGACAATGGGATGTCTCATTAACAACAGAAATGTCAGAGTTAGGTCTAGGACGAAAACAAAGAATTGACATCTGGTCACACTTCACATATGACAAGGACAACAAGACCGAAGTGACATTTATAGACTCCTCATCCACAAATACATGCGAAGCTTAGCATACACGCTAAGGTTATTTTATCAGATAAACTGTGATATAGTCGACTAAAATCTGCTAATATTTGGTCTACTAAAACTAAACTAAGACTAAAAGACTTAAGACTAGACTAAGACTAAAACTCTTTTGATATTTAGTCGACTAAAACTAGACTAAGACAAGATTTCAGATGACTAAAATAGTACTAAAACTAAATGGTGCGTTATTCAAAAGACTAAGACTAAATCAGAATTTGCTGTCAAAATGAACACTGCACACAAAGGCAGTTTTAGACTTATCACCTTCCTCCATCTCAATCTGGTAGTAACCAGACTTGAGATCCATTACTGAAAACCACTTGGATCCGGCAAGGGCTGAAAAAGCCTCTTCAAGGTTAGGAAGTGCATATGCGTCTCGTATCGTCAATGTATTCAGCTTGCGGTAATCAATGCAAAGATCGACGTCTCCATTTTTTTACGAACCACCGCGGTTGGTGAAGAGTAAGGGGACTCCGATTCTCAAATCACTCCTGCATCAAGAAGTGTTTGCAGATGTTTCCTCACGGCTTCATAATCATTTGGGTGTATTGGTCTGGACTTTTGTTTGAAGGGTGTTTTGTCTTTTAGATTTATGTGATGTTTTACTTTGGATGCATGTCCAAAACCCAGATCATGTTGAGCAAAAACATCAGCATAAGCATTTGGATTCTGGGTTACCCTATCCTTCCACTCCTTTGTGAGAGGGGAATCCCCAAAGTCAAATGTCAGATTTTCCTTGGCAGGTTCAGTAACTGTTTGAGAGGTGACAGTACAGCATTTCACAGTATTGGCTTTTAGGTTCGGAACAGGTAAGTTATCATAGATCTCCTCTGGGGTATGAAGCTCAGCAATGACACAATTTGAGTGTTATGTCATGCTCTGTTTCATCCCTAACCGACACAGGTAATTTATTGGGATGTTGCTTAGGCAAGGTGACAAGACAGCACTCAAAAAATATTCCACCAGGCATGGTGGATGATGTTGGCTGTTCGACAATTGCAAATTCCCCAGGGGTGTTAGTCTTGACCTAGCCCTCAAGAAGGACTCTCCCTTGAGCAGGTATCACTTGCTGCAGTTTACCTTTATGAGTCATTAGACCAGTTCTCCCTGTAGAGCTAATTTCTTTTCTGAGCTTAAGGGTACGAAGGATTTGTCTATAGCCATAGAAAGGAGACACGTTTTTTTGATGTTTTCCATGACAGTGTTCATCATACAAGAAATCGAGTGCATTTGTGCCGATCAGCACAGGTAGGTCATGATTTACGCGTAAGTCAGGGACTACTAATGCTAAAGTGGAAATTTCTGGCTCAGTTTCTACTAGGCCTGTAGCAACGCGTTGACGCAAATTTTTGGCAATGTGGGAGCATCTGGGGCGGAGGCGCACCGTTGACGCTCGTGGAGGAGACGGTGGCAGATGGGTGCTGGCGTTGGCTGGGTTGGTTTCATGTTTGTGTGGTGTGGTGTGTTGTGTGGCTTGGGCTCTGCGCACTTCGGTGGTGCTGGCCGGCTGTCTTGGCTCTCCGTGCGGTTTGCCTGTGCTGGGTTGGTGGCTAACGTTAACGTTGGCTAGCTACTGGCACCTAGACAGCTGTGTTTAGGTAACATTAGTTATCATCTAATGTTGGCTTGAATGGTAGCTGGGTCAATGACGTATAAGGATTTTCAACAGGCCAAATTTAAAATACAAAAAATTAGCATATCTATCGCAATTGTTCAAACATTAGGAATGTTGTGCACACAGAAATTAAAATTAAAAATGAAATTAAGCGTTTTTAGTAGTTTTGCATCTATATGAATTGGCCGTGGCCTTAAAAAATGTCATGTGGTGCGACCGTGATTTATCTTAAAATTTTTTATTTTCCATAATTTGCTTAACATTTTTTTTTTACAAGTTCTCAGTTATTTAAAGTGTTTACAAACAAAGTATTTAAATTTCTTTTGATATTTTGTCAATAATTATTTGATATTTTTGTTCCATAATGTTACAGTCCCATTCATGATTGTACTGACACAACTATATTTATTCTAAATTAAATTACACTGATTTAAAAAAATACAAACTACCAGTTACTTAAGTATACTGTATCAGTGATTAATATTTCAGCTACAGAAACTAGATATTATATTTTGAATTCAATAGAGTTTTATTGGTCGCGCCATATGATGAGTGGTCGCACCAAATGACATGAAGATATTAAATATAGGCCAATAAACAGGTCAATAAACAATACTTTTAATACAAAACATAATATTACAACCGATAATAATAAAATTGCAATAATAACAATACAAATAAAACAATTTAATTACATTTTCAGAAAGACGAAAAATCTCAAACATAAATGCACTTTGTTTTGAACAAATAGTTCATATTTTACAATGAAGATCTGAATGTGCATCACATTGCCTTAGTTTCCTGAAAAAAACTTTATAAACTTTTCAAAATAAAAAATCTCAAACATAAGTGCACAAAAGATTGGCTTGGTTTTAAACAAAGATTTCATAACCATTTAAAACATTTTTCAAAATCCATCAAACATACAGTAACTGC